GCCTTTAAGAAATTTGAGGCTGTCAGTGAAGTCAAGTGCTTACGGACTTTCATATCATTTAGAGGTCACAAAAATCGGCTCATCTTAAGCATTAGGGTACTCAATGATACATTACCAAGCTTGAGATGCTTAAGGGTGTTATATTTGTCTCATTACTATATATTTGAATTGCCTGAATCGATTGGCAATTTGATACATTTACGCTATTTGGATCTCTCCTCGATACATATCAAAAGGTTACCTGATTCAGTAACAATGTTGTCCAATTTACAGACATTGTACTTGTCACACTGTCGAGTACTCTCTGAGTTGCCTGAAGATATGAAGAAACTAATTAACTTGCGTCATCTTTATATCAAAGGAACTCAGTTATCTAAAATGCCAACACAAATGAGCAGATTGAAAAGTATCTAACATTTAACAACTTTTGTAGTTGGCAAGGATATTGGATCAAAAATTACTGAGTTGAGAGAACTTTGTCATCTTCGTGGGGAACTGTCCATTCTAGGGTTGGAAAATGTAATCAATGGCGAGGATGCATTAGAGGCCAATATAAAAGGTAAGCGGCAACTTGAAAAGTTAGTGTTGAAATGGGATGGCAATGCTAATGATTCACAAAAGGAAAGAGAAATACTTGACAATTTACGACCTCAAGCATGGTTAAAGGATCTCAGCATTATAAACTACATGGGAACAAGATTTCCAGATTGGTTGGGCGATCATTCTTTTTGTGGTATAGTGTCCCTAAGACTTGAAGGGTGTGCATATTGTTTTTCCTTGCCGCCACTTGGGCAGCTACCCTCTCTGAAACACCTCATCATAGGAAGGATGAGTGGACTAGTGTAGGTGGGTTGGGAGTTCTATGTGGATGTTTCTTCTTAGACCAAACCATTTTTGTTAACCTAAAATTGGCTTTATGGAGCCGATCTCAAATCGATGTAAGCCGGGCGTGCCAGAACCACTTGTGTGGTTCAATTGTAAATAGTCAATGTTAGTCCCTTTGAGAAAGTTAACTATCAGACGATGCGAGGAAAAAAAGAACAATAAAATTCCTCTTTTGGGTTCAAAAATGCCTTAGTTAAAAGGACTTTCCATAAATAATTTATAGTAACGTAACAAGAGAATAGAAAGGGGAAGAAAATAGATATAGCAAGAAGAGAAAGAAAAGAATGAGAATAGAGGGAGAGAGAGATCGAGAGATTAAGATAGATAGATAGAGATGAAAAGAAATAGCAAGGATGCTATTCTTAGAAAAGGCTTGAGAAAGCAAACAAATAATAATAAAGATTCTGAGGGTGCTGGACCTCTAGTACAGCGTACACTTTTGTTTGTTTATAGAAAACGTTGTAAACAAATTCCTACCAATAAGTATTCTAATTACAATAAAACTCTAACTCACTACTAAATTTAAATTCAAATCAACTAATCCTATCGAGAAACATCCTTTTACAACCAACCCAATGCTTCTTATCTCCTTGTTACTTCAATTATCTAAACCAACCATATCTGTTGCATTTTCAAAATACTCGATTAACAGCGCCCTTGTGTGTAGCTTCTATCTGGTACAAAATCTGCCATATCCATTGCACCTTCTCCTACAGTCCATTTGAATCCAAATCGTGATCCAACTGCACATCTTTAGCCCAACATCTCAACAGCCCAAGCATTTACTACATCACTATCAATCAAGCCCAATTATAATCCATGTGAAGCCCAACCTTCTTCTAATTATAACATTATTCATCGAGCCCAATTGGAGTTCAAACCCAATTACCAAAATGGGTGTCAACAATGCCCTCCAATTTTGGTAACCGTTTTAACTCTTCGGCTTCCAAAATTCAAATACACCCATTGCATCGTAACTTTGTATATATCTTATAATCCTATCAGTTTTATCTTGATTCACTTCCCAAAACATATTGATTATAGCAACCCATCTTATCACTTATTAATTATTGTCGTAATCCCAACCTTTCAACCACACATGACTTTCCATAACCCACCTCCATCTGCAGACTCTCCTTTCCATCACACCACTTTCTTCTCCAAATTCTCTCCGTCTAAAATCTCTTCTACAACATGACTTCAAAGCAAGTGAAACAAAATGATCTGAACTTGGAAAACCCTTTTCCAGAAGTGACATCGCATACACAACTAACAAAATCAATGATCAAAACCCTAGATCAAAGCGAACTAGATTCCAATACGTTGATCAACATCTCTGAAAACGCTAAGGGACTTGGCCCAGCGTTTCCGAATCGATTTCCCCCTTCCTTATCTCCAATTTATCCACAAGCCGAGCTGAGCCGTACCTTCTTTATTCCAAAACTCCCTATCTTACAGCGGAAGGGGACCGACTAACTCTCTCCGTCAGAAATTGGCACCCACCAATGTCCCAGTGGAACGATTGGGTAGATCGTGTATCAGCAGCAAAAGGAGAGCAGTGGAAAATGATGGGTATCTTTGACCTCATTCAGCTCAGTAAGATTCCCTTTTCCTTTGACCGACCATTATTTTTTGCCTCTTTACACTTTTGGTCCCCCACAACCAATTCATTTCACTTGCACTTTGGCATGATGGCCCCTACATTGAGGGACGTTTGTTTTCTAACGGGTTTAAAGCCTGGAGGAGATGAAATTAACTATCTCCTCCAGGATGAGGAAACCTCTTTTTACTTTCCAGGACAAAAAGGAGCTAAACCCTATGTGCAATCACATGAACCATTCTTGAAAGAAATGTTAGGAGAAGAAGGGACTGACATAGATGAACAAGAACATATAGGATTTTTACTATTATGGTTGTGTAGATATTTGTTGTGTGCTCCTGCTATCCAGATTACCAAGGACCTTACCCAATTGGCTATCACACTATCCAAAGGGAGACCCATGGCCTTAGCTCCATTCCTGTTAGCGTCCTTCTATAGAGGCTTATCTGACCTTATTACTTCCAACTTTGCAAGATCTGGAGGCCCATTCTGGTTATACCAGTTCTGGCTGCATGCATATTTCCCTGAGTTATCCTCCCCCATTCGGCCTACTCTAAACGATCCTTTGCTGTCATTTGGGTATGCTAGAGTCAAACCCAAAGACCACTCCTTTAATGACTGTTTTAAGTTTTTCTATCATCAGTGCAAGATCAGGACTCAATCCCAATTCCTTTCTTTTTTCAAATGTCAACTAGTTCCATCCTGGTTATTTCCACCTACTACCGATTTTTCAACTGAACAGATTGACCTCTACACCAATTCATGGGGCCATTTCTTGATTGCAAGAGATATATCTTGCAACACCGTTGCTCCCCATCTACCCAAGAGCCGAACTGGGTTTGAATTTTACAACCCAGCCTAGTTAGCCCAGCAATTTAGACTAACCCAAATGATTCCAGTACCTCCCTATTTTTCTTATAACAAGAACTATCACCGGCGAGTGAAGCTTTCAAACAGTGAACAAGTTCAAGATGTGTTTAATCGATTCACTTAACTCTTTCAAGGATTTCAGTATAAACCTTTCCTTGAAAAACCACGTACTGACCCAAACTTTGAGAATTGGTAGGCATCTTATATCACTTTTACCAAGACGGTGGATTCCAGTCAACTTGTGTGCAATCTTTTCGGCTCCTACAAGTTCATTTCCTTTAATTTTCAAAGTTTGGATTCCATTGAACCCATTGCCCTTTCTACTGCTCCTGAAACCAGAGAATACAACAAATGTGGCACCAACTCGTCCTCCTCCTACAACCCCTGCAGATAGGACCAAATCTCGCTCTCGGCAAAGTAAGTTTCACATCTTCTTCCTTTCCATATAAACTTCTGTTTTGTTTATACACTTACTAATCATAAATTCAGGCACACATTCCAATGTACCAGACAAATCCATACCCACCAAGTCTGAGGAGACCCATGTTGATTTCTATGTCCCTTTCCAAAGTATACCTCCATCTTCAGCTACTAAGGTAATACCCACAACTGAACCACATATTTACTTTAATGCATACTGTTTTTCTTACTAATCATTCATTTTCAGGAAACAACAAGAAAAAAGACTGTAGGAAGGAAACCTACTCAAAAGGCAAAAGCCAAAAGAAACTTTCAATTAATCGATGATGATGAGGTCATATCCAAGAAAAATAAACCTGTTGCTGAATCTCCCAATGTACTTCCCTTCTTTGCCTGATTTTACATATTACCTTTTTTTCTATAATAAATCGGCACTATTTTCAAAAAAACTCAACTCTTTTCAGACCAACAACCAATTCAAGAAATTTCTACAGACCATGTTGATGAAGAAGAAAAAATTGAGTTATTAGTAGGGCAAAAGCAAAAGTCCCTATTGTCTTCTCCACATTTGGCTGCGACTTCAATTAATGAACAAATTAGAGTTTCTGATGAAGTAAGTTAAGACCTTTATCACCTGTTCTTGTAGACTTGTAACAACTGTAATTAACCCAACATATCTCAGGTACAAAAAGAATCGGCTATTCCAACCATTCCTGTTAGTATCAACCCGAGTTCTCCTTTTGCAGCCCTTGATTCGCTATTCGATTCTGTGTTCGACTCACCAGATCCTGAGTCTCTTGAAATCCCACCTGAAAAAACTTCTGAAACTCTCTTAGAAGTAATTAAAGCTGAACTGATACTACTCCACATGTTCCAACAAGATTTGTCCTATGTCCCCTCCTTCAAAGAAAACCTTACCGAGACCTTGTCTTTTCTGAGTAGCTACCTTAGCTTCTCCCTGGAGGACCAGACCTTCTTCAAAAACTTCCAACTCCAAGTCCTTTCTATGATTACTGCTTATGTTGAGTCTACTCAAGCTCTCAACCATTGTGCAGCTCAAACCCAAGAGAAAGAACTGCTTTCTCAATCTTTGAAGAATGGAAAAGAATTGCATTTGTCTTAGAAGAAAAAAGCTGCTAAACTGGATACAAGGGAGAAAAAGCTTCAGGCATAACTAGCTCAGCTTTAACAAGACAAATCCCAACTCAGCAACAAAGTGGCAAAACTAAAGAAAGAAGCAGAAGTTGTTGCCCCCAAGTTCAAAGCACTCCAGGCTCAAATGCTAAAGTTAGAGCAGTCCAAGAAGCAGGCAGAATCGAAGCTCGATCAAACCAGAGTATTATGGGCAAGTTTCAAAGCCCAATTTGAAGAATTTCATCAGAACTTTAAACAACCTTGAACTTTTATTATCTCATGACAACTATTATGGATCTGTAATGTGGTTTTCGAACAGTTTGCATCTTTTGGGAAGTAATGTGGTTTTCTTTGAACAATCTTGCTTTCACAATACATTGATGCTACTACTTATTTATCGCAGGAGCAAATTTTATCTTTACACAACTTGCATAAAATACAATCCACACTATCTTGACTTACTGGAATTTTCTTTTCTTCCATGAGCTCAAAAATAATTGGCTTATATTTTTTAAGGTATCTTCCATTTATTGGCCTATCATGGATTTCACCATTTAGATCTTTTAACCTATAAGCGCCTCCATGCAATACTTGATTAACCAAATAGGGACCCTTCCAAGTAGGTGACCACTTGCCATAATCTCTATCCACCTTCCCAGGTGGAAGAATTGTTTGCCAAACCATATCACTATCTGCAAATAACTTGAACTTCACTCTTTTGTTGTAAGCCCTCATTACTTTTGCTTTATGAACCATAAGGTGATCTAAAGCAAGTTTTTGGACTTCATCTAAATCTTCTAACTCGGCCAGCATAGCTTCGTTGTAATCGGCAGGTATAACATTGTGTTGTAAAGCTACTTTTTCCGATTTTACATTTAACTCAATCGGCAACACAGCGTCGTGGCCAAATGTAAGCCGATAAGGAATTGTTCCTGTACTTGTTCACTTCGAATTTCTATAAGCCCACAAAGCTTCTGAAAGGGCTTTATGCCAACGCCTCGGCTTGTCTTTTATCATCTTCTCAATAATTTCAATCACAACTTTATTTGAAGCTTCTGCTTGGCCATTCCCTTGAGCATAATAGGGTGTTGAGGTAACCATTTTCACTTGCATATCAATGCCGAGTTGTAATACTTTATTTGCTCGAAACACAGGTCCATTATCGGCAACGATTGTTTCTGGTAAACCAAATCGGTGAAAGATATGTCGCTCTAGAAATTGTATCACAGTGTTATGAGTTACTGAGACATATTCCTCGGCTTCAACCCACATAGTAAAATAATCGATAGCTAAAATAATCCAATGATGACCTTTTGATGAAGGCGGATTAATCTTGTTGATTAGATCCATGGCCCAACCTCTGAAAGGCCATGGTTTAACCAATAATTATAATTCTATTGCTGGAACCCACTGTATTGGGCCATGCTTTTGACAGTCTATACAACCTTTTGCATAAGTCATACAATCTTTTCTCATTCCAGGCCAATAATATCCATATCGGCGTATCAACCATCTCATCTTTATGCCGGCTTGGTAAGCTCCACATATCCCTTCATGTACCTTGGCCATAATCTTCAAACCCTCAAACTTACTAATGCACTGAAATAACAAACCATCATCAGCCGATCTTTTATAAAGATCTCCATCCATAAGCACATAGTCAACTATACTTTTCTTTATTCTTCGGTCAGTTTCTTGAGTTGGATGTTGCAAGAACAAGATGTAAGGGATTCGCCAATCATCATCATCCAACTCAGCAACATCAGTGGCAAAGACTTCTTCCATAACTTGATTTCTTATTTCAGCCGATGGAAGAGATCGGCGTGTAATCCTCATTATCTTTTCCTTCATACCACTCGAAACCCTAACTCCTGAAGCAATCTGTGCTAAATCATTAGCTATTTTATTCATGGCCTTTGGTCTATATTCCAAAGTCACATTATGAAATTGGTTAACCAATTGGGTTACCAATGAATGGAATGGTCTTAATTGCCAATTCAAGCATCTAAAGTCTTCTGAGATTTGATTAATCACTAAACTCGAATCTCCCACAATGTGGACGTCTTTGACTGCCATTTCTAGCAGAATTTCCAAGCCCATAATCAATGCTTCATACTCGGCTTGATTATTTGAGCACCTGAAATCCAAAAAGAAAGAAAACGAAATTTGATTCCCTGTTGGGGATATTAGCACAATGCCAGCTCCTGACCCTTCACTGGTACTCGACCCATCAAACATTAAAGTCCAAGGGGTCATGAATATAGCTACCGAGTCAAGCTCATCAAACACTTGTGATTCAATTTCAGGTGATGGATGATCGGCAAGAAAGTCTGCCAATGCTCTTCCCTTAATTGCCTTTTGTGGAACATATGCAAACTTGAATTCCATTAGTGCCAAAGCCCATTTGCCAATCCGGCCTGTGATTAATGGCCTTGATAGCATATACTTTATAAGATCGGTTTGACAAACAATATAAACCAAAACAGGCAACATATAGACTCTTAATTTCATTGCTACAAAATACAAAGCCAAACATAATTTCTCAATTGGTGTATATCTACACTCGACTAGAGTTAAAACTCGGCTAAGATAATATATTGCTTGCTCACTTCCTACTTCATTTTCTTGTGCTAACATAGCTCTAATGGATTCTTCAGTAGTCGATAAATATAACTTCATCGGCCATTTCTTCCTTGGTGGCATCATGACAGGAGGAGTCGACAAGTATTTCTTAATCTGGTCAAATGCCCTTTGATATGTGTCATCCCATTTGAATTCTTCCATCGGCTTCAACTTGAGTAGCGGGCAAAACACATATAATTCCCCTTGACAATAAATCTCCTAAGATAGTTTACTTGCCCAAGTAACTTCTGTAACTGTTTCTTGCTTCTCGGCGCACTTGTATCAATAATTGCCTTATCTTTGTTTCTATCGACCTTTATACCCCTTTGATGAACCAGGAAACCCAAAAAGTTTCCTACCGATACTTCAAAGGCACACTTTATTGGATTCATTTTTAGCTTATGAGCCCTCATCCTCTCAAATGATGTTTTGAGATGAGCCAAGTGTTCCTTTTTTGTTGCTGATTTCACTACTACATCATCAATATACACCTCCATATACTTGCCAAGCATATCATGAAAAATATAATTCATGGCTCGCTAACATGTGGCACCAACATTCTTCAACCCAAAAGGCATTACCACCCATTCAAAAGTTCCAATCGATCCAGGACACCTAAAAGCTGTCTTTGGAATATCCTCTTCAGTTATATAAATCTGATTATAACTTGAGTGTCCATCCATAAAAGACATAATTTGGTGCTTTGCAGCCGCATGAATCAGCTGATCGGCTATTGGCATTGGATACTCATCTTTTGGAGTTGCCAAGTTTATGTTTCGGAAATCAACACATATACGAAATTTTCCATTCTTCTTGATAACAGGAACTACATTTAATGTAATACCCCTAATTTAAAATGATAGGTTTGGAATTTATTTTATTGTTTACATTATATTTTTATTTATTTAACTATGAATTGATTTGTTTTAATTGAAAATTTGTTTATATTTCAATGTGAGTTTATTTTGTTTTATGTGTATGTCTTATTTTAATTTAATTGTTTATTGCTGTGGTTTAATTGCATTTAGTTATTTAATAGATTTAATTGTAGTTTTCCTTTAAGTGGGTTGAATTAGTTATTTTAATTAGGATTAAATGCTTTAATTGATTTAATTTAACTATTTAGGTGATTTAATCTAATTTAATATAATGGTTAATTATTTGAATTTAAGTGTTAATTATTTTCATTTAATTGTTGTTTTAATTAGGGTTGTGTTTTAAAAAAAAAAAAGTCATGTTATAGCCGTCGTAGGAATCTAAGTAAGTTGGATGGGCCGGTTAGGATTACAGTTGGGTCTTGCATTAAGCTAGGGTTTAGTAAAATCCTATAAATATATGTGAGATGTTTGGTTAGGGTTTTAGGAAAAAATAACAAAACCAAGTATACGTCTGTGGAGGCAGAGGAGGAACAGAGGAACTTTTGCAGTAGGAATCGCCGGAAAGCTTAGAAGAAGACGTAGAGATTTTTAAACAAAGGTCTCAAAGGCAAGTTCTGTCTTAACTCTCTCCCTTAGGCTTCGTGTTCTTTGCATACTTAAATAGTTTCAGGTTGAGTTACATGTTTAAAACAAAAAGAAAATATATGTTTTCATGTTTAGAAATTGGAAGCGTATCAGTATGTGTTTATACTTGTTAAACTGAGTACACTTGAAACTTTCTTGTAAATTTCTTTGTTTAAATCCATGCTAGTAGTATACTAAGGACATAAATAAGGGTGGAAATTTACTGGAAGTAAGGCAAAAATTCTGGAAACCAAAATACAGATGTGCCGAAGGTGTAAACGAAGCTAGAATGCGAGAACAGAGAGACAAGGAGGGAGAGAGCCTGCTCTCCCTTGGAGGGAGCCGGCTCTCCTTGTAAAGGAGGCGGCTCCAAGGAATTAGGAGCCGGCTCCAAGGCCAATGGAGGCGGCTCCATGGTTTTTGGAGCCTGCTCCATTTTGGTTTTTCCCAGTTTTTACATTCTATTGATTTTTCTTTTGATTTTCAGTGAGACAGAGGCTTGGTTATGAAGTTTCTAAGTTTTTCCTAAGAGATTTCAATACTTTAATGAATGGTTTAACAGTGGACTGGTGTGTGGATAAAGATTTAAGGGTGGTGAGTCTGCTCCATGGGTGTTCTCTTTGGTGTTTTATTTTCTGTTTTGCTTTTTCTTCAATTGCAGTGATAAGGCTTCATGAGGGGTTGATTTCCTATGTTTTAAATGGAAATTAAATACTGTGAGAAATGGTTTAGAGTAAATTTAAATTGCCAAGAACAGAATATTATAAAGCTGCACTCAGAGCATCTAATGGTAAAATTGTATGGAATCAGTTTAGGTGTTCTGCAGAGAGGTATGGTTTTGGTTAATTAAATTTCTTAATGTTATTAGAAGTTTCTGTGAGAGCTTATTTCACTGTTAATGGAATGTGTCTGTGCAAGTATAAAGACATATACATGTTTTAAGTCTATGTTGTGCTAAGATTTTATTGTAAAATTGAGTGCATAAACTTGTTGGACAGAAAACTACAAGTATGATAAATTACTTATAGTTATTTTTGCATGTCATGGAATTGAGTTAAACAATATCTATTTATGCTCTGTTGGTTATATGGAAACTGGAAATGGAGTTATAATACAGTTACAGTCCGGTGTGATCAGGTTATGGTTTCTGTGTTGATTTAATTAAAGCATGTCCGTTAAACTACTTTATCCTGCTTAGTTTAGAATTCTTGGGATTGACATTCATATGGTTAGTATGTTTATCAACTGGTTTAATTAAAGTATGTTTGATAATTACTTTACTATACCTAGTAGGGACTTGTTGATATTATTATTTAATTGTCAATACCTTATCAACTGTTGGATGGATGGAATTGTATGCACCGGTATGGGACAGTGTCATACTAGGTTTGGATTAGCTCAAATTGCTAAGTCCTACCTATTTTGGAATAAGGGCACGAGTTATTAAATACAATCCTCCTTATATATATAAGTCGGTACGGTTGAATCTGCCGAATGACTTATTGGATTCCTTGGGGATGGTTAGGAACGGAGTTTAGATATATTTTTATGATACCGTGTCATGAGCTTGAGTTTCAGTGTCTACGGTTAGGGTGCGTATATGCAATTGGATATGTAGCTGACTGTGAGGTTGAGGTATACCCTGTTTAGGCCTAGGTACTCATACCCACTCAGGTACGATTTGTGTGATGCCTTCTATTCAGGTTGAAACCCTCTTCATAGTCTAGCGAAGGCCCAGTAGTGTGGATATATATTTATGTACGGACTATTAGCTATTGTTGAACTATTTAGTATGTACATGCGTATCGGGTCTCTGCTTGGATTGCAGTAGGATAGAACTTGTTCGTGGGCCTGACTCACTCCTATTTTACAGGTATACGTCAGTTCTAGGCTTGAGCTTGTTCATGTGGAGCAGAGACGGTCACTCACTCTTCTGACGATGTAGGATGTCCTTCCATATTTTAGTATTTGGTTTTATGTCAGTTGTTTACGTTTCAGTTGAGATTTTTATTTAGGGGCCCACTAGATGGATTCCCGAGTTGTAATTCATGGAAGTTTTGGAAGTTGGATTTTATTAAGTTTTATCAGGCTATCGAGGATTTTATATTAGTATTCTGTTCAGCTTTTAATAGTTATTCTTATTTCATT